CAAGGCGCTCTTCCCCCTCCAACCCAGCTTAAATATACGCTGCCAAGCCTGGTGGTGTTCATTCAGACGCTGTCTTTCCGACAGACCTGTTCTTCACCTGAGGACGGCTGCTTGCGTTGTGGCCGAAACGTCGTGAAAATAATTTAATTATGTTTTATTTTTATTATTTTATTATTTCCCTTCTACGTGACTTTACCGAAAGAACCAAGAAGATGAATCCCTGCATCACGAAAGCTTTAAATCGAAATTTAAGAGGCTATATAAGTAAGAGACGGGGGGCGAAGCCAGGGTGGAGCGATAGAGAGGAGGGTGTAGATTAGGGGGAGTGGGGTGCTGCAAGTACAACACAATGCCGGGGCTGGGAAGTAAGCGTGGCTGGGGGTAGGAGGCTGAAGAAAACTGGTGATGCGGATATGAAGGAAACTATAACGCAGTTTAGGTTTTACCTGGTTAATAACATCCTTAATATCAGAGCATGTTTTCTTATTGTTCATACTTTGATAACGGACGGTCATCGACTTACGAACACAATTCGTTCTTGAGACCCGTCGTAAGTCGAACTGTTCGTAAGTCGGAAAACAGTAATTTACTGTGTTTAAATGCCCACACAGGTACACACAAGCACTCACTCCCAGCATGAGGCAGACTCATTTACATCTCGCGGAGTATCGCTGAGCTGAACAAAAAATTGTCCCGCGGATCAATTAGCAAGGTGAGAGATTTCGCATTTTAAGTCGATTTAAAAAACAACAAATCTTTCATGGAAGCTGGTTCGTAAGTGCGGGTGTTCGTATGTGTGTGTGTTCGTAAGTGTGGGTGTTCGTAAGTGTGGGTGGTGTTCGTAAGTGTGGGTTGTTTGTAAGTCCGGGTGTTGTTCGTAAGTGTGGGTTGTTTGTAAGTGGGGGTGTTGTTCGTAAGTGTGGGTTGTTTGTAAGTGTGGGTTGTTTGTAAGTGTGGGTTGTTTGTAAGTGTGGGTGTTCGTAAATACGGGTGGTGTTCGAAAGTCGGGTTGTTTGTAAGTGCGGATTGTTCATAAGTGCGGGTTGTTCTTAAGTGCGAGTTGTGTTCGTAAGTGCGGATTGTTCATAAGTGCGGGTGTGCGTAAGTGCTTGTGTTTGTCCGTACGGATTGTTCGTAAGTGCGGGTGTTTGTAAGTGTGGGTGGTGTGCGTAAGTGCGGGTTCATAAGTGAGGGTGCTCGTCAGTGGGGGTTGTTCGTAAGTGAGGGTGTTCGTAAGGCGGGGACTGCCTGGACTGGCAAACAAAGGTCCCGTCATACCACTCCCCTGCCTTCCCTCTCCCCAGGGCCCCCTCCTCCCTTTTCATCCTCCTCGTCCCCCTCTATCATCTCCGCACATCCCCTTCGAACCCGGTGGTTTTTCTTCTTAACCTGGGGTGGTGTTCGTAAGTTAAGGTGGTGTTCGTAAGTTAAGGTGGTGTTCGTAAGTGCGGGTGTTGTTCGTAAGTGGACATGGCCAGATTTTTGTTTAGAAGGTAAATAATCGAAACACAAATTAAGCACGTTTCATCAAACCCTATTCATGCACGTTAAACATTCGTAAACGATTCAGAACCAAGGTTGCAGTAAAGGGTAATTAACACAGGGCTTAACCAATCCCTCTGGATGGCTTAGTCAACGGTGACCCCGCTTTGCCTCTTTCAAATCTCCCTGCCATCTCTCTCAAACCATTCAACCAAATCACCATCGACGCGAGCCACATCATCACCATCGCATCTCTCCTCGATGCAGTAGCGACCTCTTGTGGAGGTTGCGATATCCACCTCATTCACCCCACCACCTTGTCCGATACAAAAGAGATCGCACGTCGTTGAAGCTATCACACTGGTCAACAACAAAAACAACATTTTTTTCTGGCCTGGACTTTTGCAGCTGTTCTAGACTAATTTCAGGGTGCTGATTCCAAATCTGATCTCAGATTTGCTCTATCACATCTCATTTTTATGCTATCGGCATACCCCATTTTCATTGATTTTACCCGAAATTAACTGTCACTTATGATTGCAAGTTGTTGCGAGTCAGTGACTGCTTTAGTGTTAAATATGGTGCTGTATTTTTAGGATAGTGTGTTTAAAATATCATTTTATGTAGATATCCACATTTATTTAATATTTTTCTTCTGCAGTTTTTATTGAAAATGAAATATTTGATATCTCAAAAACCTGATGTGATAGACAAAAAATGATGCCAGATTTGGAATCGGCACCCCAAAATTACCTTAAAACCGTTGGAATACCTTATGCCAGAAAAAGTGTGTTGACCAGTGTTATAATTATTGGTGATGGCCTGCCAGGAGTGGGGCCTTACACCTCGTAATATACAACACACAATAGTTTAGTTGCTACATCATAGGACCTCCTTTGCCAGTTCCAAAATATGATTAAAGGTTTTCCCCTTTTTTCTGGCAACAAAACAGTTGTGTTGAGATGTTAAAACACCAAACTGAAACCTTTTACAATGAATCATGTCTGTATTGACCAAAATTCTTGTGGTCAGATTGCAAACAAAAAACATACTCTAATAACACTGGTCAACACACTTTTTCTGGCATAAGGTATTCCAACGGTTTCAAGGTAATTTTGGGTGCTGATTCCAAATCTGGCATCAGTTTTTGTCTATCACATCAGGTTTTTGAGATATCAAATATTGCATTTTCAATAAAAACTGCAGAAGAAAAATATTAAATAAATGTGTATATCTACATAAAATGATATTATAAACACACTATCCTAAAAATACAGCACCATATTTTAACACTAAAGCAGTCACTGACTCGCAACAACTTGCAATCCTAAGTGACAGAGTTTATTTCGGGTAAAATCCATGAAAATGGGGTATGCCGATAGCGTAAAAATGAGATGTGATAGAGCAAATCTGAGATCAGATTTGGAATCAGCACCCTGAAATTAGTCTAGAACAGCTGCAAAAGTCCAGGCCAGAATTGTTTTTTTTTGTTGACAAGTGTAATCGGTCACATCAAGAAAAAAACTGCAGAAGTCAGCAGTTTGTTCTTGCTGTGGTTGTCCCATCTGATGACGATTGCTTGTGTTGCGATCGAAACGTCGTGCTCGATTATTTTTCTACCTACGTGACTTTACCGAAAGAACCAAAGACTATGGATTCCTGCAGTCACGAAAGCTTCAAATCAAGATTATACTCTGATAATCTATGCATTGTCTCTAAAACTGATTGGGCCACACCAGAGACAGCTTTCTTTTGAGCCTCGTCTCAAAACGGTGTTCGTCCAAAAGACGTAGACCAATCAGTTTCAATGACAATGCATATTATCAGAGTATAATAAAAGGGGTTTTCTCCTTTTTTCTGGCAACAAACTGAAACCTATTTACAAGGATTCATGTCTTCCATGACCACAATACTTGCAGTCTTGTGGCGTCATCTGGTCGATCACCAGTTGGGTCGAGGCTCAAAAGAAAGCTGTCTCTGGTGTGGACCAATCAGTTTCAAGGACAATGCATATTTTTTTCACCTGAGGACGGCTGCTTGTGTTGTGGCCGAAACGTCGTGAGAATTTTATTTTATTATGTTTTATTTTTATAATTTTATTATTTCCCTTCTACGTCACTTTACCGAAAGAACCAAGAAGACAATACATTTATTATTAGAGTATGTTTTTTGTTTGCATTTTGACTGCAAGTATTGTGGTTAATGCAGACATGAATCCTCGTAAAAAGGTTTCAGTTTTGTTGCCAGACAAAAGGGGGGAAACCCTATTATTATATTTTGGTACTGGCAAAGGAGGTCTAATGATGATGATGATATTATCAGAGTATTTTCGTTTGTTTGCATTCTGACCACAAGCATTGTGGTTAACGCAGACGTGATTCCTTCTAAAAGGTTTCTGTTTCGTGTTTTAACATCTCAACATGTATAAAGGTGTCAGTTTTTGTACCAGTTGAAAGGGTAAAAACCTACTACTATATTTTGCCACTGGTAAAGGAGGTCTCATAGTGTAAATGCTTACCCCGAGCTCTCAATACTCTGATAGTTCGCTGTCTTTAAGTTGAACGCCTTTAGGCGTCATCTGGTCCAATACCAATGGGGACTAGGCTCTAAGAAAAGCTGTCTCGGGTGTGGACCAATCAACTTCAAGGGTAGTGCATATCATTATCAGAGTTGTTTATTTTTGTTTGCATTTTGACTGCTTGTGTTGTGGTTATTGCAAACATGATGCCTTGTATAAAGGTGTCAGTTTTTGTACCAGTCGAAAGGGTAAAAACCTACTACTATCTCAACACCTGTTTTGTTGCCAGAAAAAAGGGGAAAAAATATTTTCATAATCGTTTCGTGTTGTCACGTTCTCACCCCGTGCCCCCACTGGACGTATCTGTGAAAAATAAGAGCTTCATAGCTCTTCGGATTCCTACTGCACTCTACAGGTTCTGATCAAATCGCGTTTGTCAGCCGCACCACTCGCCGTAGTTCCGTGTTTACACCCTTCGGTGACGTCACCCCGGTTGTGTCACCACGTCGGTGACGTCATCCTGCTCCGCAGTGCCATCATCATGACGCGCAGGCGTCGTTGGCGTCATCACGTACGGCTCTACGTCATCACGTACGGCTCTACGTCGTGACGTCACGACGCACAGGCCGGCCACCAGCAAAGCGCGTCCGCACAACACGCTGTACGCGTGACGTAAGCGCTGCTCCCTTGAGCCCGTTGGTGCACGGTGACATCACACAGGTTTCTTTTAAATGACGTCACTAAACACGTTCCCGGATGTCAACGTAACACGACGCTTCCCGTGACGTCGTAACGCGTATTCGCGGGACGCGATGACGTCACTGCGCACGTGTGCGTTTCCCCACGCTCGCGGCTGACGTCATGGCGTGTGTTTACACGCTCGCGGTGACGTCACCACTTCATGGCGTGTGTTTACACACTCGTGGCTGACGTCATGTCGTGTGTTTACACGCTCGCGGTGACGTCATGTCGTGTGTTTACACTCTCGCGGTGACGTCACCCCGCAGTCAACGCAGGGGGAAGGCCTCAAGTCGACCGTGTGAGTAGTTCGTGGTGTTCGCGAGCGAAAGTTGAACTCGGACGCCAACTCGCCGATACATGTCTTGTTGTTTCTACCCTCGTGATGGTGACTTTGTAGGATGAACGTTGAAGTTTATTAGGGGGCACGGGATGACCAATAAGGTCTAAATTGGTCTGCAATAAGGTAATTGCACAGTCACCAGCTGTTGGCATCGCGAGACGTACAGTAGTTAGCGCGTTGCCACGGTTACCATTGTTACCATGGGTCGTAGAGACGGGGCTGGTCGATGTTGTGAGGCTCATTTGCATCATCAGCAGCATCAGCAGCTTGCGCATTGTGAGCTGCTGCTGCTGCCCCAGTAGCCGTCTGGAACTCTCAGCCACTGCACATTCGCAAGCAGCATGCAAGGTCCACCACCACCACACTCACCTGTACCCACACTTACCCGTCAAAGCCCTCACCTGCACAGACCCTCACCTGTCAGGATCTAGCTGGGATAGCTGGGCTAATCAATGAGTGAGTGTCTGGGCTAATCAATGAGTGAGTGGCTGGGCTAATCAATGAGTGAGTGGCTGGGCTATTCAATGAGTGAGTTGCTGGGGTAGTCAATGAGTGAGTGGCTGGGCTAATCAATGAGTGAGTGGCTGGGCTAATCAATGAGTGAGTGGCTGGGCTAATCAATGAGTGAGTGGCTGGGGTAGGCAATGAGTGAGTGGCTGGGCTAATCAATGAGTGAGTGGCTGGGGTAGTCAATGAGTGAGTGGCTGGGCTAATCAATGAGTGAGTGGCTGGGGTAGTCAATGAGTGAGTGGCTGGATTAATCAATGAGTGAGTGGCTGGGCTAATCAATGAGTGAGTGGCTGGGGTAGTCGATGAGTGAGTGGCTGGGCTAATCAATGAGTGAGTGGCTGGGCTAATCAATGAGTGAGTGGCTGGGGTAGTCAATGAGTGAGTGGCTGGATTAATCAATGAGTGAGTGGCTGGGCTAATCAATGAGTGGCTGGGCTAATCAATGAGTGAGTGGCTGGGGTAATCAATGAGTGAGTGGCTGGGGTAGTCAATGAGTGAGTGGCTGGGCTAATCAATGAGTGAGTGGCTGGGCTAATCAATGAGTGAGTGGCTGGGGTAGTCAATGAGTGAGTGGCTGGGGTAGTCAATGAGTGAGTGGCTGGGCTAATCAATGAGTGAGTGGCTGGGCTAATCAATGAGTGAGTGGCCGGGCTAATCAATGAGTGAGTGGCTGGGCTAATCAATGAGTGAGTGGCTGGGCTAATCAATGAGTGAGTGGCTGGGCTAATCAATGAGTGAGTGGCTGGGCTAATCAATGAGTGAGTGGCTGGGCTATTCAATGAGTGAGTGGCTGGGCTAATCAATGAGTGAGTGGCTGGGCTAATCAATGAGTGAGTGGCTGGGCTAATCAATGAGTGAGTGGCTGGGCTAATCAATGAGTGAATGGCTGGGCTATTCAATGAGTGAGTGGCTGGGCTAATCAATGAGTGAGTGGCTGGGCTAATCAATGAGTGAGTGGCTGGGCTAATCAATGAGTGAGTGGCTGGGCTAATCAATGAGTGAATGGCTGGGCTAATCAATGAGTGAGTGGCTGGGCTAATCAATGAGTGAGTGGCTGGGCTAATCAATGAGCGAGTGGCTGGGCTAATCAATGAGTGAGTGGCTGGGCTAATCAATGAGTGAGTGGCTGGGGTAGTCAATGCGTGACTGGCTGGGCTAATCAATGAGTGAGTGGCTGGGGTAATCAATGAGTGAGTGGCTGGGCTAATCAATGAGCTAGTGGCTGGGCTAATCAATGAGTGGCTGGGCTAATCAATGAGTGAGTGGCTGGGGTAGTCAATGAGTGAGTGGCTGGGCTAATCAATGAGCTAGTGGCTGGGCTAGTCAATGAGTGAGTGGCTGGGCTAATCAATGAGTGAGTGGCTGGGCTAATCAATGAGAGAGTGGCTGGGATAATCAATGAGCGAGTGGCTGGGCTAATCAATGAGTGAGTGGCTGGGATAATCAATGAGTGAGTGGCTGGGATAATCAATGAGTGAGTGGCTGGGATAATCAATGAGTGAGTGGCTGGGATAATCAATGAGCGAGTGGCTGGGCTAATCAATGAGTGTGTGGCTGGGATAATCAATGAGCGAGTGGCTGGGCTAAGCAATGAGTGAGTGGCTGGGCTAATCAATGAGTGAGTGGCTGGGCTAATCGATGAGTTAGTGGCTGGGCTAATCAATGAGTGGGTGGCTGGGCTAATCAATGAGTGAGTGGCTGGGCTAAGCAATGAGTGAGTGGCTGGGCTAATCAATGAGTGAGTGGCTGGGATAATCAATGAGTGAGTGGCTGGGATAATCAACGAGTGAGTGGCTGGGATAATCAATGAGTGAGTGGCTGGGATAATCAATGAGCGAGTGGCTGGGCTAATCAATGAGTGAGTGGCTGGGATAATCAATGAGCGAGTGGCTGGGCTAATCAATGAGTGAGTGGCTGGGCTAATCAATGAGTGAGTGGCTGGGCTAATCAATGAGCTAGTGGCTGGGCTAATCAATGAGTGGGTGGCTGGGCTAATCAATGAGTGAGTGGCTGGGCTAATCAATGAGTGAGTGGCTGGGCTAATCAATGAGCTAGTGGCTGGGCTAATCGATGAGTGAGTGGCTGGGCTAATCAATGAGTGAGTGGCTGGGCTAGTCAATGAGTGAGTGGCTGGGCTAATCAATGAGCTAGTGGCTGGGCTAATCGATGAGTGAGTGGCTGGGCTAATCAATGAGTGAGTGGCTGGGCTAATCAATGAGTGAGTGGCTGGGCTAATCAATGAGTGAGTGGCTGGGCTAATCAATGAGTGGGTGGCTGGGCTAATCAATGAGTGAGTGGCTGGGCTAATCAATGAGTGAGTGGCTGGGCTAATCAATGAGCTAGTGGCTGGGCTAATCAATGAGCTAGTGGCTGGGCTAATCAATGAGTGAGTGGTTGGGCTAATCGATGAGTGAGTGGCTGGGCTAATCAATGAGTGAGTGGCTGGGCTAATCAATGAGTGAGTGGCTGGGCTAATCAATGAGTGAGTGGCTGGGCTAATCAATGAGTGAGTGGCTGGGCTAATCAATGAGTGAGTGGCTGGGCTAATCAATGAGTGAGTGGCTGGGTTAATCAATGAGTGAGTGGCGGGGCTAATCAATGAGTGAGTGGCTGGGCTAATCAATGAGTGAGTGGCTGGGCTAATCAATGAGTGAGTGGCTGGGTTAATCAATGAGTGAGTGGCTGGGCTAATCAATGAGCTAGTGGCTGGGCTAATCAATGAGTGAGTGGCTGGGCTAATCAATGAGCTAGTGGCTGGGCTAATCGATGAGTGAGTGGCTGGACTATTCAATGAGTGAGTGGCTGGGCTAGTCAATGAGTGAGTGGCTGGGCGAATCAATGAGCTAGTGGCTGGGCTAATCGATGAGTGAGTGGCTGGGCTCATCAATGAGTGAGTGGCTGGGCTAATCAATGAGTGAGTGGCTGGGCTAATCAATGAGTGAGTGGCTGGGCTAATCGATGAGTGAGTGGCTGGGCTAATCAATGAGTGAGTGGCTGGGCTAATCAATGAGCTAGTGGCTGGGCTAATCAATGAGTGAGTGGCTGGGCTAATCAATGAGTGAGTGGCTGGGCTAATCAATGAGTGGCTGGGGTAGTCAATGAGTGAGTGGCTGGGCTAATCAATGAGTGAGTGGCTGGGCTAGTCAATGAGCTAGTGGCTGGGCTAGTCAATGAGCGAGTGGCTGGGCTAATCAATGAGCGAGTGACTGGGCTAGTCAATGAGCGAGTGGCTGGGCTAATCAATGAGCGAGTGGCTGGGCTAATCAATGAGTGAGTGGCTGGGCTAATCAATGAGCGAGTGGCTGGGCTAATCAATGAGTGAGTGGCTGGGCTAATCAATGAGCGAGTGGCTGGGCTAATCAATGAGTGAGTGGCTGGGCTAGTCAATGAGCTAGTGGCTGGGCTAGTCAATGAGCGAGTGGCTGGGCTAATCAATGAGCGAGTGGCTGGGCTAATCAATGAGCGAGTGGCTGGGCTAGTCAATGAGCGAGTGGCTGGGCTAGTCAATGAGCTAGTGGCTGGGCTAGTCAATGAGTGAGTGGCTGGGCTAATCAATGAGCGAGTGGCTGGGCTAATCAATGAGTGAGTGGCTGGGCTAATCAATGAGCGAGTGGCTGGGCTAATCAATGAGTGAGTGGCTGGGCTAATCAATGAGCGAGTGGCTGGGCTAATCAATGAGTGAGTGGCTGGGCTAGTCAATGAACTAGTGGCTGGGCTAGTCAATGAGCGAGTGGCTGGGCTAATCAATGAGCGAGTGGCTGGGCTAATCAATGAGTGAGTGGCTGGGCTAGTCAATGAGTGAGTGGCTGGGCTAATCAATGAGCGAGTGGCTGGGCTAGTCAATGAGCTAGTGGCTGGGCTAATCAATGAGTGAGTGGCTGGGCTAATCAATGAGCGAGTGGCTGGGCTAGTCAATGAGCGAGTGGCTGGGCTAATCAATGAGTGAGTGGCTGGGCTAATCAATGAGCGAGTGGCTGGGCTAGTCAATGAGCTAGTGGCTGGGCTAGTCAATGAGCGAGTGGCTGGGCTAGTCAATGAGCTAGTGGCTGGGCTAGTCAATGAGCTAGTGGCTGGGCTAGTCAATGAGTGAGTGGCTGGGCTAATCAATGAGTGGGTGGCTGGGCTAATCAATGAGTGAGTGGCTGGGCTAATCAATGAGTGAGTGGCTGGGCTAATCAATGAGCGAGTGGCTGGGCTAATCAATGAGTGAGTGGCTGGGCTAATCAATGAGCTAGTGGCTGGGCTAATCAATGAGTGAGTGGCTGGGCTAATCAATAAGCTAGTGGCTGGGCTAGTCAATGAGTGAGTGGCTGGGCTAATCAATGAGTGAGTGGCTGGGCTAATCAATGAGCTAGTAGCTGCGCTAGTCAATGAGTGAGTGGCTGGGCTAATCAATGAGTGAGTGGCTGGGCTAATCAATGAGCTAGTGGCTGGGCTAATCAATGAGTGAGTGGCTGGGCTAGTCAATGAGTGAGTGGCTGGGCTAGTCAATGAGCTAGTGGCTGGGCTAGTCAATGAGCTAGTGGCTGGGCTAATCAATGAGTGGGTGGCTGGGCTAATCAATGAGTGAGTGGCTGGGCTAGTCAATGAGTGAGTGGCTGGGCTAATCAATGAGTGGGTGGCTGGGCTAATCAATTAGTGAGTGGCTGGGCTAATCAATGAGTGAGTGGCTGGGCTAATCAATGAGCGAGTGGCTGGGCTAATCAATGAGTGAGTGGCTGGGCTAATCAATGAGCTAGTGGCTGGGCTAGTCAATGAGTGAGTGGCTGGGCTAATCAATGAGTGAGTGGCTGGGCTAGTCAATGAGTGAGTGGCTGGGCTAATCAATGAGTGAGTGGCTGGGCTAATCAATGAGCGAGTGACTGGGCTAGTCAATGAGTGAGTGGCTGGGCTAGTCAATGAGCTAGTGGCTGGGCTAATCAATGAGTGAGTGGCTGTGCTAATCAATGAATGAGTGCCTGGGCTAATCAATGAGCTAGTGGCTGGGCTAATCAATGAGTGAGTGGCTGGGCTAATCAATGAGTGAGTGGCTGGGCTAATCAATGAGTGAGTGGCTGGGCTAATCAATGAGTGAGTGGCTGGGATAATCAATGAGTGAGTGGCTGGGCTAATCAATGAGTGAGTGGCTGGCCTAATCAATAAGTGAGTGGCTGGGCTAATCAGTGAGTGAGTGGCTGGGCTAATCAATGAGCGAGTGGCTGGCCTAATCAATAAGTGAGTGGCTGGGCTAATCAATGAGTGAGTGGCTGGCCTAATCAATAAGTGAGTGGCTGGGCTAATCAATGAATGAGTGGCTGGGCTAATCGACGAGTGTTGGATCATTGCGGATTGGTGTGCCTGCACCACAGGGCTGGCCCGTTTCCTCCTCCCCTGCACCTCATGCTGACGGTCCTGACCGCCGTGTACTACACCTGCCTACGGCACCTGCCCTTCGCCCACTCTCAACCACCGGCCTTCGATGCCGGCGCCGGCCACAGTGGCGCTGCTGACGATGGTGGAGGAGGGCGAGGAGGCGATGATGTCGCCGTTGATGTCTCATTGTCGGAAGAGGAGACGGACGCTCTCCCCGGGGCGGAGTCGAACCTGGTCTTCAGTCAGTACGCCTCGCAGGTGGTCGACTTCAGGTGCGTGAGTGTGTGCGTGAGTGTGTGCGTGTGTGAGTGCGTGAGTGTGTGAGTGTGTGTGAGTGAGTGTGTGTGTGAGTTGCGTGAGTGTGTGTGTGAGTGCGTGAGTGTGTGAGTGTGTGTGTGAGTGCGTGAGTGCGTGTGTGTGTGTGTGAGTGCGCGAGTGTGTGTGTGCGAGTGCGTGAGTGTGTGAGTGTGTGTGTGCGTGATTGTGTGAGTGCGTGAGTGCGCGAGTGTGTGTGTGTGTGCGTGAGTGCGTGCGAGAGTGTGTGCGTGCGTGCGTGGTGAGTGGTGGCGTAGCGGTTAACCCGGCGATCCGATCTCGATTCCCGCTCGCGGCCAACATTAGCGATGAGTTTCTTAATCGGTGCAGGGGCTCCCCAAGGTCGACTCAGCCACAAATGAGTACCTGGTGCGGTGTGTAAACATCACCACTGGGGAGACAAAGGCGGCCGGGCGCGGTGCTGGCCACCCACCCCCTTGTGTGCCGTGTCGGCCTTCATAGGTGCTGCTCGCTAACAGCACTTGCCCCAACAGTCTGTTAAGGCTACACGGGGGATCTTTGTGTGCACATGGGACTGGACCAGAGCTGGGCTGTAGTCCGATCACTTAAGCAATCGATTGCTCTCCCGATTACACTGGTCAACAAAAAAAAACATGTTTTTCTGGCCTGGACTTTTGCAGCTGTTCTAGACTAATTTCAGGGTGCTGATTCCAAATCTGATCTCAGATTTGCTCTATCACATCTCATTTTTATGCTATCGGCATACCCCATTTTCATTCATTTTACCCGAAATTAACTCCGTCACTTATGATTGCAAGTTGTTGCGAGTCAGTGACTGCTTTAGTGTTAAAATATGGTGCTGTATTTTTAGGATAGTGTGTTTATAATATCATTTTATGTAGATATCCACATTTATTTAATATCTTTCTTCTGCAGTTATTGAAAATGCAATATTTGATATCTCAAAAACCTGATGTGATAGACAATTTGGAATCGGCACCCCAAAATTACATTAAAACCGTTGGAATACCTTGTGCCAGAAAAAAGTGTGTTAACCAGCATTATCGCTTCGATCATCCGGTCAATCGACAATCACCTTGAAAGTCTTCGCCCTCTACCCCCCCCCCACCCGGCTACGCCCCCCCACCCCGTCCCCACACTGCACCGGGGTGGCCCCAGCTCGCAGTACGGCTCGGAGGGCAGCCTCTCCTACACCATGGGGAACCTGGCGGGGCCGCCCAGCGTCTTCCCGGCGCACGGCGACGTGACGCAGGCGGCCGTGCCGCGCACCTACGGCCGCTGGTGGCAGCGGGGGGCGGCCCCGCCGGCGCGCGCCCCGCCGGCGTTCCGCGCCCGCGACTTTGTGGAGGTGGCGTTCGCTCGCGCCGTGCGCCCGAGCTCCGTCGGCGTGCTGGAGGTGTACAACCCCGGCACCGTTGTCCGCATCCTCGCCAGGGAGAGCGGCGCCGGGGCCGACGGGAAGGGGCCGCGGTGAGAGCTGCTGCTGCTGGCGGTGGTGGTGACGGTGGTGGTGGTGGTGGTATGGTGGTGGTGGTGACGGTGGTGGTGGCGGTAGCGGTGACGATGGTGGTGGTGGTGGTGCTGCTGATGGTGGTGATGGTGGCGGTGGTGGCGGCGGTGGTGGTGACGATGGTGGTGGTGGTGGTGGTGACGGTGGTGGTGGTGGTGGCGGTGGCGGTGGTGGTGATGGTGGTGGTGGTGGTGGCGGTGGTGGTGACGATGGTGGTGGTGGTGGTGACGGTGGTGGTGGTGGTGGCGGTGGTGGTGGTGGTGGTGGCGGTGGTGGTGGTGGTGGTGGCGGTGATGGTGGCGGTGGTGTTGCTTGTGGGGGTGATGGTGGTGGTAATGGTGGCGGTGGTGGTGGTGGCGGTGGTGCTAGTGGCGGTGGTGGTGACAATGGTGGTGGTGCTGCTGGTGGTGGTGACGGTGGTGGTAATGGTGGCGGTGACAGTGGTAGTAATGGTGGTGGTGGTGGCGGTGGTGGTGCTAGTGGCGGTGGTGGTGACGATGGTGGTGATAGTGGCGGTGGTGCTGCTGCTGGTGGTGACGGTGGTGGTAATGGTGGCGGTGGTGGTAAGTATGTTGAACTTCTTTCGCACCGTACGTAGCCCACCGTGATAATCAGAGGCAGTGGTTGTGGTGGCGCTGATCGCGATGGCAGTGCTTGTGGTGCTGGTGTGAGGAGCGGTGGTGCAGCGGTTAGCGCGGTGCGCCATGAATTCAGTGACCCGAGTTAAAATCCCGCTCATCACGGCCAACATCGGTGGCGATTATCTGAACCGGTCCCCTAGGTCGACTCAGCCTCAAATCAGGCGGCCGATCGTGGTGCTGGCCACTTAACACCTTGTGTGCTGGTCTGAATTGGTGCTTCTAACAGCACTTGCCCCAGCAGTCTGTTGTGAAACACATTGAAGCTGTGGTGAGAGGTGATGGTGGTGTGTGAATGGGGCGAGGTTTTGGGGAGTGGTGGTAGCGGCCGGGCATGCCAAACCTCGGCAGGTAGCAGAAGTGGAACAGCTGAATAGTACACAAATGCTTCCCCGTGTCTCTTCACATCCTCCTGACATCTCATTTCACGTCTCCCCACGTCTCCCCATGTCACCCCGCGTCTTCCCATGTCTCCCTGCGTCTCCCCATGTCACCCCGCGTCTCCCCATGTCACCCCGCGTCTCCCCATGTCACCCCGCGTCTCCCCGTGTCTCCTAGCGTCTCCCCGTGTCTTTCCACATCTCCCCGCATCACCCCACGTCTCCCGACATCTCATCGCACGACTACCCACATCTCCCTGCATCACCCCGCGTCTCCCGACATCTCATCTCACGTCTCCTCACATCTTCCCCCGGCCCCTCCCCCCGCCCCTCACCCCTGCCCCCCACCCCCCCAGCTGGGCGACGCTGTGGTCGGGCCCCCCCAAGCTGCTGGGAGCGAACCGGTCGCGGGAGTTTTGCCCGCGGATCCGCCGGCCGGGTTTTGCGACAGAGCTGCTGCGCCTGGAGCTGGACTGCTCGCTGTGCGACTACTACACCGAGCTGGACGCCGTGGTGCTGCGCGGCACCGCTGCCGCCACCACCACCACCGCCGCCACCGGCCCCCCGTACCGACCGGTGGGGCGCGCCGAGGAGCGCGCCGGCCGTGGGCGAGGAGGGAGCGACGGTGACGACGCCGAGGCCGATGACGACGACGATGCCGATGACGATGATGATGTTGATGATGACGACGACGACTATGACGACGATGGCGATGACGACGACGACGACGATGATGGTGGTGACATCAACGGCGATCATGAGGATGACGGTGATGGTGGTGGTGGCGGCGATGGTGGTGGTGGCGGCGATGGTGGATGCGGAGGAGATGGGTGGAAGGTCAACGAAAAGATGCCTCAGGCCACCAGGAGCTCGGAGGCTGGCAGCGGGAATGGCTACTTTGACTTGCTGCCATACGAGGTGAGGGGACAGCGACCTCACTCACAAAGACAATGATCCCCCATATAACCTTAGACTGTCGGGGCAAGTGCTGTTTGAGAGCACCTATGAAGGCCGGCAGGGCACACGAGGGGGTGGGTGGTCAGCACCACCACGCCAGTGGCGATGTTTACACACCGCACCCGGTACTCATTCGAGGTCGAGTCGACCTAGAGGAGGTCCAGGACCGGTTGAGATAATCGTCACTGGTGTCGGCCGTGAGCGGGAATTGAACTTGGCTGGCCGGGTTCATTGTGCAATGCGCTAACCGCTGCACCGCTGCTCCGCACTACACTCACCTACGCATTCACACGCTTCTAATTCACTCTTACCACTCACTCACGCATGCTCACACACACACCATCACCCACCCACCCCATCACTCATTAACTCACTCACACACTCACCAACTCACTAGCCCACCAACCCACTCATCCACCATCACACCCACTCAATCACCCAACTACAACCCATACCCCCACCCAATCACTGGCCCATCTACTCACCCATGCACTCACCTACTCATGCACCCACCCACCCACCCACTCCCACACCCACCCACTCACCCGATAATCTACCCACTCTCCCACCCACTCACTCTGCCACCCACCCACTAACTTACCCACCCAGCCATCTACTCTCGCACCCACCCACTCTCCCACCCACTCTCCCACCCACTCACTCTCCCACCTACTCAATCAATTTCCCACTCTCCCACCTACCCACTCACTTTCCCACCCACCCACCCACTCTCCCACCCACCCACTCTACCACCCACCCAGTCACTCTTCCACCCACCTACCCACCCACCTCCTAACTCTCCCACCCACTCACTTTGCCACTCTCCCACCCACTCTCCCACCCACCCACTCTCCCACCCACCCACCCACTCACTCTCCCATCCACCCACCCACTCACTTTTCCACCTACCTACCCACCCACCCACTCACTCTCCCACCCACCCACTCTTCCACCCACCTACCCACCCACCTCCTCACTCTCCCACCCACTCACTTTGCCACTCTCCCACCCACTCTCCCACCCACCCACTCTCCCACCCACCCACCCACTCACTCTCCCATCCACCCACCCACTCACTTTTCCACCTACCTACCCACCCACCCACTCACTCTCCCACCCACCCACTCTTCCACCCACCTACCCACCCACCTCCTCACTCTCCCACCCACTCACTTTGCCACTCTCCCACCCACTCTCCCACCCACCCACTCTCCCACCCACCCACCCACTCACTCTCCCATCCACCCACCCACTCACTTTTCCACCTACCTACCCACCCACCCACTCACTCTCCCACCCACCCACTCTTCCACCCACCTACCCACCCACCTCCTCACTCTCCCACCCACTCACTTTGCCACTTTCCCACCCACCCACTCTCCCACCCACCCACTCACTCTCTAAAACTCTCCCGCTCACCTGCCCCCCCACCCCCCCACCCGCACAGCTGATCCAGCTGATCCTGTCCCACGTGCCGCTGCGGGACCTGTGCCGCCTGTGCCGCACGTGCCGCCTGCTGCGGGCGCACGCCGAGGACCCGGCGCAGTACCAGCGCCTCGACCTGCGCCCCTACTGGCCCAGCGTGGGCGACGCGCAGCTGCAGGCGCTGGCGCCGCGCTGCACTCACACGCAGGCCCTGGGCCTCTCCTGGGCCGGGGGGCGCGGCCTCGTCACTGTCGGGGGGTTCGTGCGGTGAGGCCAACGCCCCCCCCCCTCCCCAGTCCTCACCCCCCCCCCCCAATCACCACCCCCCCACCCCTCCCACCTCCCCCTCTCAGCGGCGCGGGCACCGGCGACAGGGAGACAGAGCGAGTGATGGAGTGTCAAGAGTGGGTGAGTGGGTTAGAGAGTGGGTGGGTGAGTGAATCGGGAGTGGGTGAGTGGGTTAGAGAGTGGGTGGGTTAGAGAGTGGGTGGGCGAGTGGGTTAGAGAGTGGGTGGGTGAGTGAATCGAGTGTGGGTGAGTGGGTTAAAGAGTGGGTGGGTGAGTGGGTTAGAGAGTGGGTGGGTGAGTGAATAGAGAGTGGGCGAGTGGGTTAGAGAGTGGGTGGGTGAGTGAATCGAGAGTGGGTGAGTGGGTTAAAGAGTGGGTGGGTGAGTGGGTTAGAGAGTGGGTGGGTGAGTGAATAGAGAGTGGGTGAGTGGGTTAGAGAGTGGGTGGGTGAGTGAATAGAGAGTGGGTTAGAGGGTGAGTGGGTGAGTGGGTTAAGAGAGTGGGTGGGTGAGTGGGTTAGAGAGTGGGTGGGTGAGTGGGTTAGAGAGTGGGTGGGTGAGTGGGTTAGAGAGTGGGTGGGTGAGTAGGTTAGAGAGTGGGTGGGTGAGTGGGTTAGAGAGTGGGTGGGTGAGTGGGTTAGAGAGTGGGTGGGTGAGTGAATCGAGTGTGGGTGAGTGGGTTAAAGAGTGGGTGGGTGAGTGGGTTAGAGAGTGGGTGGGTGAGTGGGTTAGAGAGTGGGTGGGTTATGATCTTTATCTTTGTGTATCTGTTGTGTGGTGCCTACCCCCCCCCACCGCCCCTCTGCCCCCCCAACCCCCCTCTGCCCCCCCCGTCCCCCCGCCCCCCCTCCCCCCACAGCTTCCTGGAGGGCTGCGGGCGGGGGCTGTTGCGGCTGGAGCTGTCGTGCTGCGAGTTTGTGACGGAGGAGAGCGTGGGCGCCATCGCGCGCTGCTGCCCGGCGCTGCGGGCGCTCGACCTCTCCTGCTGCCGTGACACCGCCGCCGCCACCACCGCCGCCGGTGCTGCCGGTGTCGCCGGTGCCGGCACGCCGCAGCCGGCGTCGACCTTCCGTCCCCTCGCCTCGCTGCACGAACTGCGCCACCTCAACCTCTACCGCACCGGCGTGGACGTACGTGCGTGTCTGTGTGTGTACACGTGTGTGTGTGTACACGTGTGTGTGTACACATGCGTGTTAGAAACATTTAGGCTGGCCTGCCTACGATCCATCCTGGGTTTAACAGCACTTGCCCCGACAGTCTGTTACAGGCTACATGGGGGATCTTTGTGCATGTGTGTCATCAGCATCACCATCATGGTCATCATCATCATCGTCATGATAGGAATCTTAATCATCATTTTGATGAACACCTACCTGTCAATGCCTACCTTATTACAGACCAATTCAGACTTTATTGTTCGCTTATAAATCTCAACGTTCATCCTGCAAAGTCCCATCACAAGCGACAAACGCAAACAGACAGACAAACATTATTTTATCTTGCCCGTATTGAAACGGCTGTACGCCGTATGGACCTGAAAACTCGATTTCCCTGTGCAAGAATACGTGTAAACCTTATGGGTTTACGGGTTTACACACGTATGTAAGCATCATCTTACTTGGCGTGATAGTCTTGAACACCGCGTTTGGTAACAAACCACGGAACAACGGTCGCCCCGTCCTGGCGGACGTGACCCATGCGCAGCGCCGGCGCTGCACATGCAGCTTGCGTCGTCCGGGGGCAGCTTGCCCCGTCCGGGGGCAGCTGCCACTGGGCGGTGCACTAAGCCGGACTGCAGCAGGGCAGTGGAAGAATTCCGCCACCGTGGCCAGGAGATGTTTTCAGTTTCAGCGTTCAATACCCAACGCGCGTTGTGAAAATACGAGCTTTATAGGAGAACGGATTGCGCCTGATGCCGTGCGAGGTGTAAACATCGTCGCTGGGGGAGACGGGGTCTAAGGGCGTTGTGATGCTGCCCACCCCACCCCACCCCCACCGTGTGCCGTGTGCCGTGCGCCGTGTGCCGTGTGCCGTGTGCCGTGCGCCGTGTGCCGTGTGCCGTGTGCCGTTCCAGCTGTGAAAAAGAGCTTTCTGGCTCGTCAGATTCCTCTGGAGTCAAATTAGTATTCTGATATTCTAAATTCTGATCGCAGCTCTCTAACGCCACTTGTCCCGAACAGCCCTGTAAAGGGTACACGGGGAAATCTTTGTCTCGTGTACGACATCATCGTCGTGATAATTGGTTTTTTACCCTTCTATCTGGCAACTAAACTGACACCTTTTTTTACAAGGAGTCATGTTTGCATAGACCACAATACCTGCAGGTGTCAGTTTTGTTGCCAGATAGAAGGGTAAAAAACCAATGATCTTATTTTTTACTGGCAAATGAGGTCCAATGGTGTAAATGCTTACCCCGAGCTCTCATACTCTGATGGTGCATTGTCTTTGAGTTGTGCGCCTTTTGGCGTCATCTGGTCCAACACCAATGGAGACTAGGCTCTAAGAAAAGCTGTCTCGGATGTGGACCAATCAATTTCAAGGACAGTGCATATATTATCAGAGTTATGTTTTTTTATGTTTTTTGTTTGCATTATGGCTGCAGGTATTGTGGTCTATGCTAACATGACTCCTTGTAAAAAAGGTGTCAGCAGTAGCATCTGCAGCGTCATCATCGTTGATGACGCTGCAGATGCTACTGCTGATGACGATGATGACGACGACGATGATGATGATGCTGCTGCTGCTGAAGCTACCGCTGATGCTGCTGCTGAAAGAGTTGGTGCTGTAGCTGACCTCGTCGGTTGTGTGCGGCTGGCGGCTGTGTGAACCGACGTCGCCGCAGGAGGAGGTGCTGTCGGAGATCATCGGCGCCTGCCCACAGCTCCAGACCCTGAACATCGGCAGCTGCGTCCAGGTACGGCGCCACGCACACCGCACGGGGCACCACCACAGATGGTGGCGCCACGTACACCGCACACCGCACCGCCACCGGCACCTGATGGTGAAGGTGGTGCTGGTGTTGTTGATGATGACGACGGTGATTGTGGTGACGATGAAGTGTAGGCGGAGTGTGGTGACGATGGAGATGATGAAGCTCATGGTGGTGGTGGTGACGATGTTGATAATGGCGGTGACGATGGTGGTGATGATGACGATGATAATGGTGGTGGTGACGATGTTGATAATGGCGGTGACGATGGTGATGATGATGACGCTGATGATGGTGGTGGTGACGATGTTGATGATGACAGTGGCGGTGGCGATGGTGCTGATGATGAAGCTCATGGTGGTGACGATGTTGATAATGGCGGTGGCGATGGTGGTGGTGATAACGCTGAAGATGGTGGTGGTGACGATGTTGATGGTGACAATGGCAGTGGCGATGGTGGTGGTGGTGATAACGCTGAAGATGGTGGTGGTGACGATGTTGATGGCGGCACCGGCGGCGGTGGTGGCGGCGGCGGTGTCGCGGCAGCACGAGAGGTCGAGCGCCCGCAGCGCCGGGCAGCAGCGCGCGATGGCGCCCACGCTCTCCTCCGTCACAAACTCGCAGCACGACAGCTCCAGCCGCAACAGCCCCCGCCCATAGCCCTCCAGGAAGCTGTGGGGGGCGGGGGGCGGGGGGACGGGGGGGGGCAGAGGGGGGGTGGGGGGGGCAGAGGGGCGGTGGGGGGGGCACCACACAACAGATACACAAAGATAAAGATGATAATCCACCCACTCTCTAACCCACTCACCCACGACGATGGTGACGAGGTGGAGAGCGGTGATGATGATGATGGTGGTGACGATGGTGACGATGGTGACGAGGTGCAGGTGGAGAGCGGTGACGACGTGCTGGTCGCTCTGGCGCGCTCCTGCCCGCACCTGGAGGCGTTGGACGCGTGGAGGCTGCACGGAGTGACGCACGTTGGTCTCGTGGAACTCGTCGTGTCCTGCACTCACCTACAGGTACCACACTCACCTACAGGTACCGCACTCACCTACAGGTCCCGCACTCACCTACAGGTACCACACTCACCTACAGGTCCCGCACTCACCTACAGCCACCGCACTCACCTACAGCCACCGCACTCACCTACAGCCACCGCACTCACCTACAGCCACCGCACTCACCTACAGCCACCGCACTCACCTACAGCCACCGCACTCACTGGCACTGTACGTACTCAGCGCGCTAATCGGAGGTGCTCGGGAAGAAACAACAAATGAAACACAACAACCAGCAGCTCTAAATAAAATTAGTTTGTCAGTCTCGATCAGGGGCGGGGAACGTCCGGATCCTTGGGACATTCTGTCTACAGGAAAGCCACCCACACAGATTCCTACCTGAAACCTGATTCCCACCACCACCCATCTCAAAATAATTCTCTCATCAAAACGCTATACCACAGAGCCCATGGCATTTCTGACCAACACCACCTGGCCAGTGAATTAAGACATGTACATCGGGCCCTCAGGATGAACGGATACTCTGACCGCACCATCCGCCAAGCTGTTTCTCCCACCATACAGAAACAGCCACTTGAAACTCCGATCAAAACTATCACGTTGCCATACATAGCAGGCGTGACCAAAAAGATCTCCAAAATTCTAAACAAACATAAGATTCAAGTCCGATTCAGTACAGTACATAAAATCCGTGGTCTAATTCCATCTGTGAAAGATGTCATTCCTGACTTACAATACCCTGGAGTCTACAAACTGAGTTGCAGTTGTGATGATTGCTACATTGGAGAAACGAAACGTCATATCTCTGATCGTGTCCGCCAACACAAGTCAGATCTGAAGCACGGCAAAACTGATTCTTCTGCCGTTGCCGATCATTGCTACAACGCTGTGGGCTCTCATAAAATTGTCTTTTCCGAGACCAAGGTGCTCTGCAAACCTCCTGGCTACCATCAAAGGTTTGTACACGAGGCCATCCAAATATACAAACACAGACATAATTTCAATTGTGATGATGGGTACAAACTTAGTAATCATGCAAAAAAGATTTAACTACACATATTTGGAGCATTCCTGGCAGCAATTTCAGCCGCACCACCTCTAAATAACAATAGGCTCAGTCAACCATTCTACACAACAAAGACTCATTTCCTGGTAGCGATTTCAGCCGCACCACATCTACATAACAATAGGCTCAGTCAACCATTCTACACAACAAAGACTCATTTCCTGGCAGCGATTTCAGCCACATCACCTCTACATAACAAAAGGCTCAGTCCCATTTACACGCACCTTTACATCATCCGCACCTAGTTTACACAACAAAGGCTCATTGCTAACAGCGTGCTTCAGCCGCACCGAACCTCACAAAAATAATATCCAGGGCCTACCTTGGCTCCTCCCACCCTCAACCAGTATATATACAAGGACTGTTTTCTTGGAATATCTCTTACTTGATACAGCAGTCGTGCCTGTGACGGTCCCACCTGAAGACGGAAGGAAGCTTGTGTTGCCTTCGAAACGTCGTGATTTTAATTTTATTTTTATTTTACTTTTATTAATTTAAATTTTTTACCGACGTGACTTGTTTTGTACCGTACGTAGCCAACCACTAAAACACAACAAGCATTTCGAAAGAAATTAGTTCGCCAATCTAGATGATGATTTAAAAGTGGCTTAGCTCCGAGTGACGACAGAGCGTTCCAGACGGCCGCAGGAGCGCGGTGACCACCGCCTTCGTCCGACGGTCGGCCAAAAAGCCGCCGCTGCTACGAGGATGACCGGCGCTGGCGCCTGCCTTGCAGGAGCTCGACCTGGGCTGGTGCTCGGGCCTGCAGAGCGGCACCGGCGTGTTCCAGCTGCTGGCGCGCAGCCTGCCGGCGCTGCGCCGCCTCTACCTCACCGCCAACCGCACGGTGGGCGACCACGACCTGGCGGCGCTGGCGCGGCACTGCCCACGCCTCCAGCAGCTCGACATCCTGGGTGAGCTGGGCGGGCTGGGCGGGCTGGGCGGGCTGGGAGGGCTGGGAGGGCTGGGCGAGGCGGCGCCGCTGCTCGCGGACGGCGCTCGGGCCGGGGGGGGGCGTCTGTTAGAAGGCTACACGGGGGTGCGGGTGTGTGTGCGTGTAGGTGTGTGTGTGTGTGTGCGTGCGTGGCTGTGTATGTGTGTGTAGGTGTGTGTGTCTGTGTGTGTAGGTGTTTGTGTGTGTAGGTGTGTGTGTGTGCATGCGTGGCTGTGTGTGTGTGTAGGTGTGTGTGTGTCTGTGTGTGTAGGTGTTTGTGTGTGTAGGTGTGTGTGTGCGTGTGTGCGTGCGTGGCTGTGTGTGTGTGTGGGGTGGGGAGCGGTAGTGTAGCGGTTAGCACGCTGCGCTACGAACCCGGCGACACGGGTTCGATTCCCGCTCACGGCCAACATCAGTGACGATTATCAGAACCGGCCCTGGGCCTCCCCTAGGTTGACTCGGCCTCAAATGAGTACCTGGTGGGGTGTGTAAACATCGCCACTGGGGAGACAAAGGCGGCCGGGCGTGGTGCCGGCAACCCACCCCCTCGTGTGCCGTGCACACACACACACACACACGTACACACACGTACACACACGTGGGCGACGGTGTTAGTGAGTGGCGGGGCAGCGGTTAGCGCCCTGCGCTCGCCCCCATGGCGCCCTGCTGAGGCTACGCGGGGGGTGGTGCGTGTGGCGGCGGCGCGTGCGTGTGCAGGCACGCGCATGTGAGCGCCAGCGCGCTCTGGGAGCTGCTGTGGAGCTGCCGCTGACTCCTGCGCCTGCTGGACGTGTCGTTCTGCTCGCGCGTCGACGCTCGCCTCGTCGGGGAGCTCCGCGCACGCTACCCGGCCGTGGCCATCAAGCGCAGCGACTGCCAACGCAACCTGCCCGCCCGCCGGCACCGTCTGCCCGCTCGCCGGCACCGTCTTGCCAATCGCCGGCGCAATCTGCCCGCCCACTAGTGCCGTCGACACGCCCGCGCTGCCGCTCGCCTGCCTGCTCGCTTGCGTCATCGCCCGCTCGCTCGCCCCGTCGCTAACGCTGCCGCTCGCCCGCCTGCCCAGTCGCTAGCGCCGCCGCCCGCTCGCTCACCTGTTCGCTTGCCTATTTGCTAGCGCTACCACTCGCTCGCCCGCTCGCTCACCCGCCCACCCGCTCGCTCGCCCACCCGCTCGCTCGCCCACCCGCTCGCTCGCCCCTTCTCTAACGCCGCCCGCTCGCCCGCCTGCCCAGTCGCTAGCGCCGCCGCCCGCTCGCTCGCCTGTTTGCTCGCCTGTTTGTGAGCGCTACCACTCGCTCGCCTGCCCGCTCGCTTGCACCATTACTTGCTCGCTCACCCCTTTGCTAGTTCTGCCACTCGCCCGCCCGCCCGCTCACCAGCGCCGTCGCCCGTTGGCTCGCTCGTTCGCTTGCGCCATCACACGCTCGCCCGCAAGCGCCCTCACCCGCTAAGACCATCACCGCTTGCCCACTGGTTCGCTCGTGCCATTACCTGCCTGTGAGCGCCGTCAGCTACCCGCCCACGCGTCCCACCCACCAACAAATGTGCACAAGCAAGGCTGACGGACCAAGCAAGCAATCAAAAACACTCGCCCGCTGACTGTGATGATGTGTGGAGGCTCCTGGACTCTGTGGCTTTGTGTGGCGTTGTTATTTAATTTCACGGTTGTGCGTTAAATCTTTCCGCGTTGCTCATGCTGCTGCTACGTTGCGTCCGATGCCTTACGTCAACGTTGACCCCCTTCCCCCCCATCGGAATCCGATGAGCTATGAAGCTCTTTTTCGCAAATATCCAGTCGGGGCACGGGGTAAGAACGTTACAACAACAAACGTAACACAAACACGATAGTAGTGCAGAGTACCGTAAAGGTAAACAAATCACACAACACACGAATAAATTTCGATTTAAAGCTTTCGTGACTGCAGGGATTCATCTTCTTGGTTCTTTCGGTAAAGTCACGTAGAAGGCAAATAATAAAATAATAAAATAAAACATAATAAATACAATTCTCACGACGTTCGGCCACAACGCAAGCAGCCGTCCTCAGGTGGAGAACAAGTCTGTCGGAAAAGACGGCGTCTGAATGAGCACCACCAGGCTTGGCAGCGTATATTTAAGCTGTGTTAGAGGAGGAAGGGCGCCTTGACCAAAGGAATTTGCAATATCAGCAGAGCAATTTAATATATTTATGGAAAATGCTGCTAATCCTACATAATGCCCGGGCATAATATGACTTTGAGACCCCCCCACCTCTACGCATTCCAGAAGTAGTGACTATCAAATATCTGAATTTTCCATAAATATGCTAAATTCCTCACACGACACCCAAATAGTCTTTGGTTCTTTCGGTAAAGTCACGTAGAGAGGAAGTTAATAGATGACGATGTTTCGATCGCAACTCAAGCAATCGTCATCGGGTGAGACACACAGCAGAAGAACTGTTGACGCAGGAGAAATAAACACAAACAACCATCGCATACCTACCAGGGGAGCCCACTGGAGGTGGTGTGACTTATTCCATTGGTATTTCATTTGCCAGTAAAAAATATGATAATGGTTTTTTACCCTTTTATCTGGCAACAAAACTGACACCTTTTTTTTACGAGGAGTCATGTTTGCATAGACCACACTACCTGCAGTCATAATGCAAACAAAAAACAACCTCTGATAATGTGTAATAAAGGACTCTTTCTCATATGTCGATCTCCGTTGTCATTTATTGGGTTCGTAGAATCTCGTTACCACGGCGTCCTCGCTCAGGCCCGCGTCTCTCCCGACGATCTCTCCACAGCCACTCGGCTGCTCCGATATGCAGTCTCCCTGCTGCTCAGTTAGGCAGCCTCACTCTTGCTTCGCCTTGCAGCCACACCGCTGCTCCGCTTCCAGCTTCACTGCTGCCCCGTATACAGCTAGCCTCCACAGCCCGCTAGCTCTCTGCGTCTGACCCCGATGGCTGACGGTGTCGACGTCTCCCACCGCGTGGCGACCGCGCCACTCTCCCCGTCCTGCCCAGCGTGGCCTCCTCCTGTTTCACTCCGTCTCAACTCCCCCTTCCCCTTCCGGTTCTCCCCCTAAATCCTCTCTCCCGTGACCCTAACTCCGCCCTCTCCCCACGTGACCCAGACTCCGCCCCCCCTCAATCCTTGCTCGCATTACAAATGTATGCATTCTCCTTGAAGTTTTGGTCCACACCCGAGACAGCTTTCCTTAGAGCCTAGTCTCAATCAACCAACAATCAACTTCAAGGCTAACACCAGTGACGATTATCTGAACCGGTCCTGGGCCTCCCCTAGGTCGACTCAGCCTTAAATGAGTACCTGGTGCGGTGTGTAAACATCGCTACTAGGGAGACAAAGGCGGCCGGGCGCGGTGTTGG